ACTAGCTTTTGTGTAATAAAAGCTCTCCAATCCTTTTGGATATGTAACGAGTCCCTTTAGAAGAAGCCATACTAGCACACCAAATAGAAATCATGAAAATAGTAGTTTTTTTTCATGACCAATCTTGGGTCAATGATATATTCTTGAATGAAGGACAGTTAAACCGTACACACCAAATAATGGCATAACCTGTCCTTGCTCTAAAGTCTTGCTCTTCTTGCTCTTGTCAAGTCACTATCTTCAGGGTTTACATATTATGTTGATATCTCAATGATTTCAGGTATGATTTGACATACTATATATTGGAGCAACTAGATGGGGATAGGCATGGAATTTGATGGCAAGTCCATCGACACACTGCTATCTGTCTCCCCAAAAATCTATGAAAGAAATCTAGCAAGCAATTTTCCACTGACATGCATTGATGTTAAAATTGCTCTATGCCGAGTTGATATGGTCAAGAGGCATTGACTCTAGCCAAATGCTCATTAAACTGCACCTTTGATGCTATTAGCCTCGATCAAAGTGACCATTTGAGGTGCCTAATAAAGTAATACCTCCGATTTTTAATATAAGAGCTAGTTATATTGTCTTTCCTAGAATATCCTTACTAGTCATGTGTATTAGCTACATCTACCATCTGATAAAATCTTTAACATATGCAACTACTACAAGAGTACAAGGACTACTTTAAAAAAAATAAATAAATATGAGAGAAAAAGTAGATTAAAGTTTTATATTTAGGACCAAATTTAGAATAAAACTAATTTTTATATTAATGACCAGAGATAGTAGTTGTATGGCTATAAGTGGATTGCAACTTAGATGGCCATCTCTAATGTTAACAGAACATAAAACCTAGCATTAGAAAATTAGGCCATGTCAAGTTTTCTAGAAGAGCTTCGCTTCATTTGGTTTCTTAGAATAAGAAAGTGAGTGAAGATATTCCCAGAGAATGCACCAAAGCATGCAGTTAAGCAGTTAAGCTTGGAGTCTTGGACTAGGGATGAAACATTTCTTATAGTTTATGCTTTGGATTCTCTATTTGTGAATATTAGGTCATGCTACTTTTGTTTTTCGTTAGTCATTCCTTTAATTGACTTTGTATTTATGTATTTATTTATGATGTGAGCCATTATGACTTCTTAAATATTTTAATGTGACGAAGAAAATTCGCACATGCATGCTTTGCCCATTTAAAATTTAAAAAGGAAAGGAAAATAAAGGAAAAGAAAACCTATCCAGAATCTCAAATAATGCTATTTCAGGAGGGAAAAAATTATATTTATGATATGTTGATGTGACTCTGATATCTGAAAATAATTATAACTTCTAAGTGTTTTTAATTCAAATTTTTGTATGACCTAAGTTTTTTGAAGTAATATTTCTTGCATTGGAGTTTTTGTTTGCCGGAAATTCTTGTATGACCTTGGTTTTTTGAAGTAATATTGAGATATGAGTGCAAGTAGAGATTCTTACAAGATATTACCTGTATGAATGACTGCTTTTTTTTTTTTTTGGCTTGAATCCTAAATGTGAATGTGTTTCTGCTTTAGGATTAAAAAAAAAAAAACAATTTTGGGCAAAGTATTGGTGCATTCACTTGTTTTTTTTTTTTTGGCCAACTCATTCACTTTTGGCAAATTTTAAGTCTGAGCCGATTTGTTGGCTAAGCATTTATGAGAGAAATTTGCTAGAATAAATTTACCTTAGCGTGTGGTCATTGCTGGCGCGTTTGAGTCTAGTGTGGCCGTGTGGACATTACTATTCAGAATTCCTGCATAATATTTGGCTCTCTTTTGTGCCAGTGCAAGAATTTAAAACTTTGAATTCAACATCAGCTGACTAAACCTATTGCTTTTGGCTACAAAAGTAGTAAACTCTTGTTTGGTAAATTAACGACCATTTGTTAAACTTCTCCTCAGTTTTGAACACAAGGTGACAAAAACTTTCAGGTCATATTTTTGTAAGAAAGTATTGCAAATTGTGTGGATGAATTTTTGGTCCCTAACTAAAATTTCTCTTCTCAAAGCTGATTGGGCAAAGTTTTTATGACTAGATTCTAAAACAAAAATGGTCATTTTAAGCTTATTATCGCTCACACCAATCTGAAGTAGTTAATTTTGAAATTCTCTCAGGCTCTGGAATTTTGTTCTAATCTGTTCAACTTGTTCAATTATTTTGCTTTTACTGTTTTTCTTGCTGTGATTATTCTGAATTGAAATTGGTTAAGTTTTCAACTTGAATTCTGATATATTATTATAAGTTAAAAAATAAAATATATATTATTATAATTAAAAATATATTAAAATAAAAATTAATTTAAAATAATTATAAAATCATATTTATTATAAAATTAATTACTTTTTACAAAAATATTATTTTATTAATTAAAATATTTTTTTATAGGACAAAAGTTTAGGTCTCAGTGGCTCATCATGGCCTTATGGGTTACAAAAATCTTATTTTATTAATTAAAATATATTTTAAATTTGGGAAGAAAAAGCACAATGGAAAGAGAACAAAAATTTCATTTTTTTCGAGCATATAAAATTTTTTCATTTGATTATTTAAGATATATTATTATACTACCTCCGATCCAAAATATAGGAGCTAGTTGACTAATTTGAGTAAATTAAAGAGATAAATTAAATTAGTTATTTGTAATAAATAGGTGTTGTCTTTCCTAAAATATCCTTGTTAATAAAGTGTATTGGCTAGAACTACTATTAAAGTACCACTTGGGAAAATATATAAATATAAAAGATAAAGTGGATTGGGGTCTCATATTTAAGACCAAAATAAAAGTCAAATGAGGTCTTATATTAAGAACCGGAGGTAGTATCAATTGGAACAAAAAATTATTGTACCATTTTTAAATATACATATTAATATTTTTGACCCAAAAAATACGCATATTAATATATTAAGACTGAATATTTATTAAATATGTAATTCAAACCAAGATGTAAATTAATTTATATAATGTATAAATAAAACTATAAACTAAGATAAATTGATTATTACTATTTTTTTCGTCACTTTCTTAAATTAAATAAAAGATCATTAAATATAATACTAAACAAATAATCCGCAACCCGGCTAGTCTACCTATAACTCAAAAATCAGTGGGCTTAAAAAAGCATCGGGCTGCTCGCGTCTCCTGTTTATTTATTTATTTATTTATTTTTGGATAAAAGGGCAGCAAGCACTCCAATCTTTTTATTTAGGAGCACCCACCACCCTAATTTTTTTTACTACAATTTTATCCACCATCTATTTTTTTAGTGCAATTTAACCCGGTTCCAACAGTCATCTAACGTCTGTTAACATAACATATTTTTTTTTTAAAAAAAATCCAGTTCTTGAATATGTATTTGAGAAAACCAGTTCTCGAATATATATTTGAGAAGACCAGTAAAATTGCACGCATTGGTGTTTAGATACCATTCCTAATCAGGATTTTGGGTTCCCATTTCTCACCAAACAAACTTATTTTAAGGTTTTCATATTCTCAACTACATTATCACGCCTCTTTTCTTCAGCTTCGGTTCTAATGTGTCTAGCTATTCTTAACTCTTGCTACTTAGAGGAAAAATTTCTCAAATCTCTACCCACAAAGTTGATTTTGGGTCTTTCCTCACTTGTCATCTCCATAGTAGGCATGATGGTGGCCTTTCTTTCCACCATTTATCTTACGATGAATCATACAAACTACTCATGGAGTCTCCTCCCTGTTATTATGCTTACAAGTGTTCCTATATTCCTCTTCGTGCTCTCACAATTCCCTCTTCCTCATCATTCTGTTTTTGCGACAGATGGGAGTACTCGAATACATACCCAAGCACAGAAGTTCTACGTGATTTTTCCAATGTGTATTTTCTTTTTCAGGAATATAATGGTATCTAAATACTAATATGTACAATTTTACTGGTCTTCTTGAATACATATTCAAAAACTAGTCTTCTCAAATACATATTCAAGAACTAAACTTTTTGTTATTGTCTCATATACGAATAGAGAGAGTTGATGTTATATACAATTTTGATTTTGTGAAAGTGAAAAATTCTAATATGCATTGTTTGTTACTTTTTTTTGTTGTGTGCACAGCAGATGTGAGAATGGAGAAGAAGGTGAGCAAGAAGAGTCACTAAATGAGGATTGTGAAGATGAGGTGGGAGAGTCAAGAAGTGAGGAATTTGGAAGTGAGGAAATCGAATGTGAGGAGGAAGAGTCAATAAGTGAAGAATGTGGAAGTGAGGAGGAAGTAATGAGGCCCAATAAGAAACAACCCTTCTTGATGTTCAGGTAAACAGCTCTCTATAATATATTCAAGAATTAGAGCCATTCTCGATGTTTGGCTAACCGGCTCTAATGCTTACTAAAGTCGATTTCACCTTAACAATGGAGATTTTTTATTCACCGTCTTCCTCACGACCTTCGCTACTGGAATTTGCAATTCGTTTAGGTTTCCAATGCTTGCAAAATCAAATTGCTCTTCTAAAACAAGAGAGACAGAGTATGAAAGAAAACAAAAGTAAAATTTTAAAGTAAGGTTGTTAACTTTCCAAATCAAGACAACTTTCCTTGCACAAATTTGTTGTCTTTTCCTTTACCAGATGCTAGTGTTCCCAATCGCACAAACAGGTGGGGTTCTGGTGCTTGCAGAATGGGCGCACGAGCTCGGTTCGTTTTTTCCCTTATTTATATTATCTATTAATTTTAATCCTCTTAGCCGTGCTGATGTGGACTTATAAAAAAAAATTTCTTAACAGAAGTTAGGGGATCCGTTGGAATTGGGTTCAATTGCATAAAAAAAATAGATGATGGGTAAAATTGTACTAAAAAAAGATTGGGATGGTGGGTGCTTCTGGGAAAAAAAAATTTGGGTATTAGGTGTTTTTTATTTTTTATTACATGCCTTTTAATAACACCTCCCTAATTCCCTTTCCCCTCAACGCTCGTGTGGGCCGTAGGGTCTCACTTCTTTCTTTTCTTCAGGTCACTGTCGGCTTTCCCTTTCTCTGGCTTTCGGCGTTCCTTCCTTCCCACGCTGGCACACCCCTTCCGCTTCGCCTTCGTCTTCTACTCTTCCTCTTCCTTCCAGTTCTTCACTTACCCTCGCCTTCGTCTTCCTCAATCCAGCAGCCGCCCAGATCGAAGAGTCGAAGTGGAGGGAGTTCACCTTTCAGTTAGCTCGTGTCGGACATGGACGGCAGCTTGAAGCTCGAACTCGACGGGCGACGGCAACTTGAAGGCTTGAAGCTCAGAAATCGGCGCCTCTAGTGAGTTATTTCTGGCTTTCTTCTCGGTCTCCAACTCAGATGACTGCTGATTACTTGCCCAATTTTTACAGTGTGGTTATAGATTTTTTCTGCTTGTCTAATGAACTTCCTCGCTGTTTTGAGTGGCTTAAGTTAAGTGAATATTTCTTAATTACTACTCTTGCTTTCAGACTAAAGATTGTGCTTCCATTTTCTTGATTTAGTTTACTAGTTTCCTTTCTTCCTTATGATTGTTGTCTGAAATAGATTAGTGTGAAAGAAAAATGCATGTTTGAGAAATGGGAATGGAGTTTTTCATTGGCTGAGATTCTGATTCTGGATTTCTGGTTCTTAACGTTTCTTTATACATTTGTTCTTTTTGGTTCTTAATTAATGATTGTAGTTAGTTAAGTGTGGTTTTTCATTTACTTGGTTATAAAATACCTGTTTCTAGTCTTTTCTTTGGTATTTGTTATTGATTTGTACTGTGGGAGAAAATGAGCAATACAAAACAAAACAAACAGGCCCAGAGGTGCGCTGCTGTCCGTTCGCCGTCGGTGTCTTCTTTTCCTTTTGTTGCTACTCGCCACCGCTCTCTCCTTTCCTTCTCCTCAGTCGACTCTGTCTTGTGTGTGAGCGAGCAGCTCATGGTGATTTTACTCTCACCTTGGTAGAGTTGGGTAGGTAGTTCGCTTCTTGCTTCTTCTTTCCCTTGTTGTGTCTTGGTGATTCGATTGAAGTTGGTTTTGTGCTGTGTGCTCCTCGGTTCTTCAGCGTCTCTGTTTCGCTCACTGGGTGTGCTCTTTGTTTTTCTTCTTCTCCTTCTCCCTTAGTCGTTTTCTGCAAGTGTTAAGCTTGAATCCTTTATTTTTATTTATTTTCAATTTTATTGTCCTTTGTGGTCAATGCTGCAGAATGTTGGGTATAGGAGGAATGGATAGGATTTGGGTGTTTGAAGGAGGAAGGAAAAACTCGTCTGATTAGTGAAGAAGATGATTGGAACCTAAATAGAGGATTTGATTATTGTTTGCAGAAACTCATGCGTTTTGAAGTCTTGAAGTTAGCTTGTGCATACTAACTGTTTTTTAAAATGCCTCTAGAAGAGAAAATACATGCTTACCCGTTACTATTGAAGGGAATTATGATTTTAGTTAGACTTCATTATGTAATACTTAATTCTATGTTGATATGTAAAGATCAGAAGTATAGTCTTTAAAGTTGCTAGAATTGATATCTTTTTAGATTCTATCCAAAGTGTCCATACATTTTATTTCTTCCTTAATGTTTTCTGGAGAAACTTTAGAAAATGTCATGTGAAAGTTGTTGAAAGGAGACTATATGCGAAAGAAGGTTATTGGAACTATTGAATGTTTGGGATACCTTTTATGACTCTATTGTTTGACTACTTGATCTTGATCTCCACAAGTGTTTACAAGTGATATGCAAGGATCAAATGTGCCTTTATTTTGTGGATTAGAGTGCTTGAAAGACAAATCCATGTGGAATATAATCAGAAAAAAACCGGACCATCTTAATTGAAATCTCTATTTGATATCTTTCAAATATATATTATATATATTGCCTAAAGTATTTTGTGGTGCATTCAATACTTGAAGTATTTTTTTCAAGTACATCCAACGCCCTAAAGTATTTTTAGTACAATTCTACGCTTAGTAATTCCCTTTATGATGTTAGATGCATCTGGAAACATATTTCAAGGTTCTTGATGCGCCTTAACTCGCCAATATTATTTGAAATGTTTCATAACATTTAATTGAGGGTCTAGCATTTATTAGGTGCAAAGATGGATACCTTTCAGAAGCCTCCTGGCTTCATATCTAGTAAGAAAAGGTAAGGTCTTCAGTACTGATGCAATTACTGAAATGGAAGACTGGGAAGGAAGGCGTCAAAAGTTGGGTACTTTTTAAGCAATCTTCACCTTATAAAGCCTTTCCCCTCTCCTTATGAAATTTTATAATATTTACTGTATAAGATGGCTTAGATAGTCTTATTATTCATCATTCAATTGGCTCTATGCGTTAAATTTCACATGTTATTTTTGTTGACCTCTTAGATCATTCCTATTATTTTGTGATTTTTCAATTTTGATATCTGCAGGCACTAATAGCTGGTTGAAAGGGAAAGCCCAGGTTTTGTCCATTTCAACTTCCCAATGTAAGTTTTGCTACATTTCGACTTTCCAATGTAAGTTAAAAGGAATCTATGTATATTTTGATTTGATACCTGATTGATTAATTGCCTGATTGTATAGTACATAAATGATGATATGTGTAGTTGTCGTTGAAATGATTTCTGGTTTTGCATGCCGTCTCTGAAACACTTGAACTTTGTTCATTTCTTATAGTTTTGTACTTTTGATGAGAGAAAGCTTTCAAAGCATTATTTATTTATATTTCTTTGTTGGGAGAAGGTTAAAGGAGCAATGTACATTATGGTGATTAAACAATTCATTTGAAACTATCCAAATAACTTTTGGGCTGCATACTCTGCTCCTTTTTTGTTTATGCCCATTTTCTTTCCTTTTTCTTTGGACATATGAATTGGATGACTACACCTTGATTCAGTTTCACTTTGTTGATATTCCACATGTAGCTTACAGTTCGAGGCTAATCTTGACCTATGGATTTTTTTGGGCGTTTAAATGCACTATAGTTATAGGTTGCAGGCTGTTGATAGCTATTTCTCCTCAAATTTCATGGCTTGGAATGCATGGTTAGTTTATATTGTCTATGTCATCTCAGGAATTGTGATGACTATTGGTTTGGTCTCTGTGCCAAGTACTGGCTTGAGTGATTATGGAGCACCTCGGCTTTTGATGCCATATTTAGTGATTTTTGAGGCGAAAGAATAATTATTATTGTTTACATGATAAAAAAGGAAATACGATATTTTTTTTCCCTTTTGATTTAGGTCAGATTTACAGATTGCTACTGAAGTAAATGTTATTTCCCTACTTTAAGTATGCAGTGATAGTAATATTGATAGTGATATTGTGGCTCTATTGCTGTGCATGTATGTTGCATATCTTGATCAATGTTTTATAGTTTTATATATTTTATTCATGTATTCTAAGATACATGCATCTTACCTGTTCTCCCTTGGTTGTAAATTTTGAACTTAGTGATATCTTTCTAGGACAATGTTTCTGCACTTTTTCAAATTACTTCTATTTGTCCTCATTAAATTATTTTGGAAGTACAGGATGAATCATTATTAATTTGGATATCAAGTAGCAGAGAAAGATGTCTAAAGTTATCTTCTGTCTCGAGAATTATTCCTATAAAAAGAATTGTGAGATCTCTACATGTCTATTGCATAATGCAACTGCTTTATTTTTCTGTAGTTCAATCTAAACTAACTGATTTCCATATATAATATGATTTGATGACTTACTCATGTTTTTTGTTTACATCAATTCTATGGTAGGATATTTTCAACATTGTTTGTGTCCCGAGAAGGATTTGTCTTTTTCACGTATTTACGACAACATAAAGAGATTACTTGACTTGGTTGGTGCTGGGTTTAGCATTTATAAGTATGAATATCTTATCACTTTATTGCTTCGTATATTTGCAAGGATAAACCTGGGGCAGAAGGTTGGGTTGCTCTCCTCGAATCATTGCTCCCTTTTGGTCAAGGTGGGCAGTCCAAAACTTACAGATGGAGTGATGTGGGGGCCTCTGTCTTGAACAAGAGGAAACGTGGACAGAGGAGATCCAAAAATTGAAGAAGCTTAGTCCTGATGGGAAAATCTCCAGTCAAGAAGGATTGAAGCATATTGGAGAAAGAATGAATCTTTTGTCTTTGTTTGGAACTTGCCAGGATGAACTTTCTATCAAGTGTTACGGGTGAATGAGAATGCTGATTGATTGGAGACCGGGATGTTTCTGCGTACAATAAATATGAGTAACAGTAGATTTTATGGTACACCATCTCTCCAATGCCTTGTGCGAAACTTCTCACTCTGGTCTATGAAGAAGGATCCGGATCTTGAATCAGCTCTATCTCGCAATCACCGCTGGATTGTTAATAATCAAATCAAGAACATTATCCTTCGATATCCTAAGCAGGAGATACCTGTGAAAGTTCTTCAGAAGAAATTTAAGAACCTTGATCTCCAAGGCAAAGCTCTCAATTGGATAAAAAAATATCCATGTTGTTTTGAGCTTCATCTCCATGGTGATGAATATCACTGTAGACTGACAAAGCAGATGATGCATTTGGTAGAAGAAGAAGAATCTGTTAAAGACATGCAGGAAACAATATTTGTTAGGAGGTTAGCAAAGTTGTTGATGATGAGTGCAAATAAGAGACTTAATGTTGTCAAAATTAATGAGCTGAAGAGAAATTTTGGTTTTCCAGATGATTATTTAATCAGAATTATTCCTAAGTATCCAGATATGTTTCGGATTGTTAATTATAGTGGAAGACGAAATGCAATGGAAATAGAATTGGTATCTTGGAACCCTGATTTGGCTATTTCTACAGTTGAAGCATCTGCTCAGAAACAGGGAACCCACCCAAGTTTCACATGCTTATTACCTTCAACTTGGGTGAAATCTTGGGAAAGATTTAATGAATTTAATTCAAGCCCTTATATTTCACCTTACATGGATCCAAAAGATTTGGTGGAAGGATCAAAGGAGATGGAGAAGAAGACAGTAGGTTTGCTGCATGAATTGTTATCATTGACTCTCTGGAAGAAGGCCTCAATTGTGAAACTGAGTCACTTTAGGAGGGAGTTTGTTTTACCAGATAAGTTGAACATTTTATTGCTCAAGCATCCTGGGATTTTTTACGTTTCAAATAAGTATCAAATTTATACAGTTCTGCTTCGAGAGGGATATAATGGCTCTGAACTCATTTATAAAGATCCTTTGGTATTGGTGAAGGACAAATTTGGGGAACTGATGCAGGAGGGACTTCATGAATATAATCAGAGGCATCGCTTAATGAATTTGGAGAAGAAGAGAAAGAATGGCCTTCCTTTGGCTAGAGTAGATAAAAGAAAGGATAGAAGAGCTGGAATTTCTGACTCGGAGAATCAGGGAGATAAACTGGGGGCTTTGCATGACCCAGAAGAAAGAAAACGGTTCTATAAAGTTCTGTTTGATGATGATGCTTCATGAAATCTACATAGGTATGCACATTATGGATTTGATCCATTAATTATCTACTCATTTAGTTCTGGTAGATATTGATATTTCCTTTCAACCAACTTATGGATGCTTATAATAGATGTTTTAAATCAGATTGTGAATTAGTCAAATTATTAGGCTTTTTGTTAGCAATGCATTTTGATTTACTTTGTCTGTCTTCCTTAATGTGATTTGAAGACTTGTCCACCAAATTCTTATTTTATTTTCCTATGGGAAATGATGTGAGAGGGGGACAGAAAAATTGTGAACTTTCTTTCATGTGGAGTAGAATATTTCCTGTAAGTGATACAAGGTATCTGAATTTGGCTGTTGTGCTATCTAATACTTCAAATTAGCTATTGTCCTGTGGAGAACTAGATGCCTCCATTCTCAAAGTGGTGCCTGCTGAAAGGATTGTGGGTTATAAAACACTTTTCCTTGGCCAAATTTGCACCATCCCCCTCTTATTTCTTTATTGTATGGTTAATAGGACTCGTTTCTCATTTGGTAGAGAATGAAGAGTTGCAAGCAAAGATGAGAATAAGAAATCTTCCTTAAAAAAGGTACTACATTTAAATACAACAACATGAACTAACTTTTGTGTAATAAAATAAAAACTCTCCATTCCTTTTGGATATGTAATGAATCCCTTTAGGAGAAGCCACATTGGCACACCAAATGGAAGCCATGAAAACAGTAGTTTTTTTCATGACTAATCTCGGGGCAATGATATATTCTATATATATCATTTAATAATGTATAATCTATCATTGCTCTGAGGTTTTACTCTCTTTGCTCTTGTCAAGTTGCTATATTCGGTTTTACATATTATGTTGATGTCTCCCTGATTTTAGGTATGATTTGACATACTGTATATTGGAGCAATTGGACGGGGGATAGGCATGGAATTTGATGGCAAGTCCATTGACCCACTTCTGTTTGTCTCCCCAAAAATCTATGAAAGAAAGCTGGGAAGCAATTTTCTATTGATGTGCACTAGTGTTACGGTTGCTCGATGCCGGGTTGATGTGCTCGAGAGGCATTGACTCCTGCCAAACACTCGTTAAACAGCGACTTCGATGCTGTTAGCATCGATCAATGTGACCATTTGAGGTACCTTGTAGTGTGGTTGTATGGCTATTAGTGGATCGCAGCTTAGAAGGCCATCTCCCATATTAACAGAACTATAAAACCTGGCATTAGAAAATTGGGCCATATAAAATCTTCTGAAAGAGCCTCATTTGGTTCCTTAGAATAAGAAAGTAAATGAAACTTTTCAGATAGTTTTTGCTTTGGATCCTTTCTTTGTGAATTTGAGGTCGTGCTCCTCTTGTTTTTCGTTAGTCGCTCCTTTAATTGACTTTGTACTTATTTATTTATGATGTGAGCCATTATGACTTTTTAAATATTTTAATGTGAAGAAAATTCACACATGCATGCTTTGCCCAACTAAACTTTAGAAAGGAAAGGAAAAGAAAGGAAAAGAAAAAGAATTATTGATCTAAACTCTGCTGCAAGTCTTTTTCTAGATGCTATGATATCTGAAAAATAAAATAATTATAACTTCTGAAATGACCCAAGTTTTTTGGAGTTACATTTATTGCATTATAGCTTGGCAACAAATATGAATAGAGTAAATTTGAAAAAAAAAAAAAAGGAAGAAAAAAGGAGTGAGCAAGTTACATTAGTTATTTGAATTGCAGCATTTGATCTTGAACATCGCCGCAAATCTTTCTTATCGCATATTTCTTTGGAAGTCTAGTCGTTCAACATTTGACCTTGGGAGAATTACCCAAGTAATTCTCAGAGGTTGTCATTCTCACTAGTTATTACAGGCTGCTCAGGTTGTTACTTCTTTGTAGTGATTATTTCTCTTATGTGGGACTTAAATGTAACCTTTGACCTTTCCCCCCTCGTTATAAAATGAAAACTGGAAATAGAATGATTAAATGAGAGCTGCTTTTAATCATCATAATCTTGTGAACCATTTTTCTGTACTTAAAAAGTAAAAATATGACTTTCTTGTCTTTGTATGTTTTTATAATAAAAAAGAATTAAATTAAAAAAAGAAATTTTCTTATCGAATTTAATTGATGTGCATGAAATTAGTCTCAGCCAAAAGTTTGTTTTCGTTTGCCCGAGCAGAGCAACTAAAATCAAACCGTATTTTTAAACCAAAAAAGAAAAAGGAAAAACAAAACAAAAAAGGGAAATGACAAACAAAGACTGCCAAATTAGAGAAATTTCAATTAAATAGACCATGATCTTTGATTATAATAAAAAGTCTGAAGTCCTACTATGGTATCTTCCTAGTAGAGACAATCCTATTTGAGACACTGTTGGGACACTAAATATAAGTACCTCTCCCAGCGGAAATTCAAACATTGGTTCGTCATATTGTGAGGGACTGACCCCTTCTATTAAATCCAATCCTCGTTGGCTTCCTCAACTTTATTACTAAAAAGCATTAACCTCACTTGATGAATATGAAATGTTTTATTTTTAACTTCATTACTGAAAAGCTCTAATTTTTCTTGGAAATTTACTTACTTTAAATGATGGATCAAATTGTTTGACTAAAAATAAGATTACTCACATTCTCAAGCGACATAAAAGCTTTTCAATATGGGCGTTAATGAAACTTCGTAAACATCTAAGAATTGTGTCCTTTTAATTCCTTTTTTTAAAATAATTTAGTCTTGATTGCTGAAAATGCTTAAATGGGTGTGAAATTTAACTTCATTACTGAAAAGCCTTGACTCCTCTTTGAATTGACTTAATTTAGACTTGGACTAAATTGCTGGTAAATGAAAATATGAGAAATAATATGGAATTTCTTGAACTCTACTGTTGAAATAATCAGGTTAATATAATTTTTGGTCTCTCAAGTTTGCCTTTATTTTGGTGTTAGTCCTTCAAATTTCAAATTGTTCCTCAAAAGGCAAAACAGTTTAAATTTTTATTGGATTATAGAAACCAATATTTTAAATAAAAAAAATTTGAAGGACCAAAACCTATAGTTTGAAATTTGAGAGACCAAAACAAAAATGAGAGTAAACTTAAAGGGCCAAAGTTTGTATTAACCTGAAATAATCTAATTACTTCGCTTGAAAATAGATTAATAGTCTTATTTTTTAGTTACCAACAAGGTAATTCCTATATGAAACAAGTAAATTTCAAAGTAAGGTTAGAGCTTTAGTAGTGAAAGCTAAGGAAATTTCATATTCTTGTTAGGCATTTTTTTTCTAGGCATAGACATCTTTTTATTGGAGACAATTATATTCAAGATACTCTTTAATACTAAATTTGTATACCTCTTATAGCGGAAAATTTAATTTTAATTCGTCATGTTGTGAGGACTAATTTATTTTGCTAGATTCAATCCTCGTTGGTTTTATTAGGCATTTTTAGTAGTCCTATTTTCAGTTCCAAGCAATTTAACAGTTACGAAGCAGGCTAATTTTCAATAAACATATTTTCAGTAGGCTTTTTTTTTTTTTTTTGGTAATGGTGTTTGCCCGTATATAGAAAACCACAACAAATTGTCTTGATTCCTTTGCTACACTGCAAGGCCACAGAAAGATTTGAGACCAAAAAGAATGCGACGCGGGATATAACCATTTTTTAATGAAAAATTATTATTACTTTCGGTCCTTAACATCAAATCAATTTGACTAATTTAAAAAAAATTAAGAAAATTTAAAAACTATTTAATTATAACATATATTGCATAATCTTTCTAAAATATTTATTTGTATCATATATTACATATTAATTTATAAGTGGAGCAAATTAGCTTGGCAAAAATCCATAAATATAATATTTTAAAGTAATTTATTTAACTTTCTTAGTCTTCCCAAATTAGTCAACTAGTCTTATATTAAAAACCACAAGAAGTATAATTTAACACAAATATGAAATAAGATTCTTTATATGTGTATGTATATGTGTGTTTCTTGATAGGTGTTCTATCGAATATGATAAAATTGTTGTGCTAATTTCGCATTTTAGATAAGTTAAATTTTTTTTCCTATTTGGACTTTCGCGCACACACGCGCACACACGCACACACGAGCCACAACAAGTAACGCAGAATTAGTAGAGTATTAATTTGATGAAGTATCAATTATTGCACTTTCATCAAATTCGGTAGCATAACTAGTAAGAGTGAAAGAAAATATGAAACAAATCCAAACCAATGTTGGATGTTAATAGTAATTTAGAGATTAATGGATAAAGACACAATATATTTGTGCCTATTATTGTTAAGATTAATTACTTCATAGGATATGAATTAGCTAGTGCTAGTTTAAATTAAATTTTGCCTCAGCATCTATATCAATCTTCAAAATTACTTCCTAATCAATTTACCCACATTTGTTTTGCAAGATTGATTAATTAATTAACTAATTAACACAATTAAGAACATACCTAATAATTCAACTATGTGAGGCTAGTATAGGATATCTCGATCCTACAAGAGAAACTATCCACTAACTAAGCATGTTTCAAGTACTCATGCATACAATTAACCTCTAAGGCCTGTCTCAATCTCTCACTATTTATAGTTCAATCAAGAAAATCAATCCCTAATTAGCGGTCACTTACAAGGTATTTTCAATCATACAATGAGAAAAACGTGTGTATCCACACATGATCATAGTTCTAGCACAAATATGTGAAAGTGTTTATAAGCGCTTAAAAGAAGTAGATCCAAATGAACCCTACATCAATCCCCAGTTAATTGCCGCTTACAAGATATTTTCAATTGCCTAACGAGTTAAACATGTATATCCAAACATCGACACAACTAAATATATTAAAAACATCTCATATTGAATTGAGGAGACTTTCAATAATTATTTTTTTGTCAAAGTCACTGAAACATTTTTTCCACCACTATTCATTATTTTTAATTTCTTTTTTAGATTGTAGAATTCTTTAGAAGAAGCGTCCGCTTAACATAGTACGTGCACTTTGAGAACTTTAAAAAAGAAGTCATAAGTAAAAATTCCTTCTTTAAGTGATAACTTTTTGAGATGGCCACTAAAAAAGTGCATAAAAAAATTCACTCTCAGAGGGCAATTACGAAGCCACACCACTGAAACTGCTCCACTTTTAATGAATACTTTGTGAGTGGCAATGGAAAGTATGTGTAGTGGTAGTAATCATGATAACTGCTGGATGTTGATATAATATATATATATATATATATATATATCATGGATATATAGTGCAACGCTATTCATGAGCAGTTTTGCACTAACACCACATGCCTATATTGCAAGAAAATGCTTTTCAGTTCCTTGATTTCTAAGGAATTATTTTTAAAAATACATATAAACAGGAACATTAATGTAAATGAACTAGTAGTAGTGATTTTTTTTTGGAAAAAAGCCGGGTAAGATTACCGATTCTGTAGTTAAAATTGCAGCTAACCCGAAGAAATCTTTGTTATAAAGGAGTAGCCCTGTGTTTTTTTTAATGAATGGACAGAACCATATATATATATATATATATCAATATACCTATGAAATCTATATAGTCTATATAAAGCACGTTATTGATAAATTATTAGTAATGCAAAATCATTTCATGCTCGTGAATATTCACCGGTCTATCTAGCTAGTTCTAATGCGTGCTTTGTGCAGTTAAATTGTCAATATGCATAAATGAATATAATAAGTCTTAAGTGGGATTGGTAGGCTTACTTCATGAGCCAATTATATTGAAACAGAACTACAACAAAATCACACCAACCATTGATTAAATTAATTTTATCTTAGTCTACAGTAGCATAAGTCAAAACATGAGTTCATATTATCCCATTAAGAGTTTTATTTTCTTTAGCACTTTTTCTATATTCCAATGCTTGCCATAGCTATATAGTCTCATTTAGTAATCAATTAGATCATGAAATTACGAGCTTATTGAACTAATAGAATTTAATTTCGCCAAATTAAAATTAATATCTCTAATGTTAGATTATGTTGGTTAAAACGTATACTACCTCTGGTCCTTAATACAAAAGCTAGTTGACTAATTTGAATAAATTAAGAAAGTTTGTTAAGTTAGTTATCTATAATAAATAGGTATTATCACTATAAAAAAAATTGACTTTCAGCGGTGACTTTTTGTCGCCACTGAAAGTTTTCAGTGGTGACTTGTTACCGCTGAAAAGTCATTGCCGTAGTAGTCATGGTTGAAAACTTTTAGCGGCAACTAAAAAGGTTGCCATTGAAAGATACTTTCAGTGGCCACTTTTAGAAGTTTTAGCAGCGACATTTGTCACCACCGAAAGACACTTTTGCTAAAAGAATTTTCAGCGGCGACAATTTGTCACCACAGAAAGGGACATTCAGCGGGGACTTTTTTGTCGCCGCTAAAAGTGATGCCTAAGGAGAATTAGCTTTACTAACGCCATGTCATCACT